GGACGGCCGGGAGAAGCAGGAGGGTTCGCCTCATGCCGAAACTGGCTCTTCGCGAGCGCGGCTGTGTATTAGGGGAGAGATCCTGAAAGGGGGCTCGGGGGTGGGTCGGGGCTTTCTCCGAGGTGTCTCTTGCCTCGGGACTCTCTTCGACAAAAACGTTCCCCAGCGTTTGTAGTGGAGATGGGGGCAAGCCGCGGTTAGCTGGTTACAAGATGGACCTCTGCGTAGGTGGTGTCCTAACAGCCGGTTCTGGCACGCCTGGTATCTAGACTTCTTACTAAACAGCTGGGCTGTCGAGGAGTTGGCTTTATTTCTGCTGGGGTAATGTTTAGGCTTCTCATTTACCCCTGTCTCCAGGCTGTAAAACCTGGCTGCTTTGTTTGATACCTTCGGTGAAGGTAAAGATAATATTATCTTATGGTCACGGGGAAAAAAAGCATGCCTTTTCAGCTGCAGTATAAATCTTGATGTAATTCTGAGTTCTCATACCTTAACAAAAAAAGGCTGAATAGGCTTTCGTCAGATTTTGAGGTGGTCTACCTCTGGCCTAAAAATGACCTTGAGTATTTCTGGGCAATAGGTATCTAGTTAAGAAAGCTATAATTTAATGGAAAAATATGTGATATCAAGGCATAATGTTTAAATTCCCCACTTGTGTTGTTTATTTCCATAACACAGCAACAGAGGTATAGTTTAAAAAAAAAAACAAACCAAAGAATCATGCATACCTTTCACTTGTGTATCTGAAATTGGCTTTCACGTATTTCTTTTTTTCTTATAAAGCACGTCATTGTTTGAAATATGTTAGTGCTTTATTTTGTAGAAGTGGATGGAAGAGGGTTACCTAGTTCTGATTTGAACAGCGATACTTTTCCCATAGAAGGAAAAATATTTTTGGAAGCCCAAGCCTCAAAATGGCCACGAAGAGACTTACAAGCAATGTGTCAGTAAGCTTGTTGGTTAGTAGTCAGTGGAATTCAATTCTAAAAAAATCAGTGCTTTTCCAGCTAAAGCAAAGCTTGGAGTAGAATGAGCATTAACAGCTTGACTTGTTCGTGCAGGAGGGTTCGGTTAGACAGAAGCCTGCCCACGTGAGTCAGGTTAGCTGTCAGGGGCTTCAACAGAAGCACGCTGCAAAGCTTCTATAGAGTGTGCCCGAAAAAGGTTATTTTTATGGATTGTGCATGTGTGTGCGCGCGCGTGTGTGAATGTTCTTACGTATATTTATGCATGGCTGTCTCTTATCTAACTCAGCAGCTGATAGGTTTGCTTTTGGTTTTGTGCTTAGATACTATTCTCAAGATACAACTTTTTCTCTTTTCAGGCTTTGATTAGTATTTTAGACTCGTAACAGACATTTTTCTGGACCTGATGTTTTCCTAACACTTGGCTTAAAAAGCTACTTTGCTGGAATGTTTTAAAGGGTTAAAAATCCTCTAGGATTTGAAGTTAATTTTAAATTAATTGAAGGAAATACTTCTGGCCTCACCAAAGAAATAACTGGAATCATGGATCAGAACAACAGCTTGCCACCCTATGCTCAAGGCTTGGCCTCCCCTCAGGTAAAAACAAATTATTTAATATGCAATTGTGATCTGAATTTCTTTGTGAAAGTGTTTTCCGTTTCTTGCATGTAACTTCAGGTTTTTTGTTTGCGGATCTGAAAAATTCTGCTAGGTATAGAATAATACTAGTATAAAGCAGAATTTTAAAACCCTCAATTTGTATATCCAGAGGTATAAGAAACATGCAGATCTATGGGATTCCTTTAAGTTGAAACATGACTGACAAGTTGGAAATATTAATTTAATTTTGGTGGTTGCCCTTTAAACTAACTTATACATAATGGACTGTAGCTGTGCTGTGAATACATTTGGTATGATGGGCACGGTCTTTGTTCAAACAATTGCAAGTTAAATTGTGGGTCAAAGTTGAGACATGCTTGCAAGGTGGTGTGAGAAGCGTATCAGCATGACTGGCTGGAGATGAACAATGCTAGAACTGACAGGTCTCTAGAGGTAATATTCTATAGAAGAACTGCATTTCCAAGGGCTGTCTGGTTTTACTACTATATGCCTCGGGTTTGATATGATCAACTTAAGTTGATTTATTTTTAGACTCCTCCTGAAAACTTTTTCTCTTAAAACCAAAATGGAGTAAACAGTATCTGTGGTTTCTGTTTCATGCTTTCTTCTGTAGGGTGCAATGACTCCAGGAATTCCAATTTTTAGCCCGATGATGCCATATGGCACAGGACTGACACCACAGCCTGTCCAGAGCACCAACAGTCTGTCCATCCTAGAGGAACAGCAGCGGCAGCAGCAGCAGCAACAAGCAGCACAGCAATCTACATCACAGCAAGCGACACAGGGAACATCTGGTCAAACTCCCCAGCTCTTCCACTCACAGACTCTTACCACAGCCCCTTTACCGGGAACCACACCTCTGTACCCCTCTCCAATGACTCCGATGACTCCAATAACTCCTGCAACACCGGCGTCCGAGAGCTCTGGGATAGTGCCACAGCTACAGTGAGTGTCCCATGTGTTAGTGCAGCATGTCCTTCCTCAGATAGCCCTTTAAAGACTTAGGACCAGAGCCATATCAGGAATTGAGTACTGCATTTTGGTGGAGAGGGAGGTCCTGAGAATTTATGGGTCTCCTCTAGCAATATGAGTGATTTTTTGCTTTTATTTTTAGCTTAGCTTTGTTACTAAACCACTTAGTAATATAAACAGTTTCTTGGTGATTTGTCAACCATACATATTTTAAGCATACCAGTGGAGGATGTTATATGTGTCTTCAGTTAACACCATCGTAACTTTTAACTCTATGCACTTTAGGAATTCATCATGCTTTAGCTATAAAGTAGTATGGGTTGATAATCTGGTATTTCAAAACATGTATACGTTGAAACATAGTCTCATTTGTAATTTACTGGATATTTGTGACCTGTTCACAGAAAAGCAAATAGCTCCACTTTGCAAACAGGTACACATTTCACTGTGGGTAGAATTTTGTTAGTGAGGTATTAAAGCAGAATACAGGAACAATCACAGCTGAAAGGGAATTAGAAGGGTAGAGGGGAAGAAACTAGTTGCTAGTCTAGGAGCTAGAGCTGAGTTGTACTTAATATTCTTTGTTCCCTTTTCTAGTTCATGGCTACAGCTGAGTTAGGTATGAAAGTATTTTCTCCGAACTTTAGTTTTAAAGAGACTTCTACAGCAATTTACTGAAGGCCCAAAGAGAAATGGTTGATAACATGAATTTTGCTACTACTGAAAGAGTAGTTCCTCATCTTTCTTTTTTTTTTCCCCCCATTGAGGACCTTTAGATTTCAGAGTTTTCCCAGAAAACATGTTCCAAGGAAATTTTGCATCTAGGAACTTCTCTTAAACTTTCTAGAGACCTGCTTTCCTATCGCCTGGCAATGGGTTTACCTCCTGGGTCATTCCCAGTTCGTCCTGCACCTCTTCTTCCTCCTTGAAGGGCATACCAAGGAAAATTTCAGATGGTACTAGTGCTACCTCATTTTCTCCTGATTCCAGCAGCTTCCCTGGTTGTGGTGGGGCCTCTCAGCATCAAGAATTTTTCCTGCCAAACTGCAATAGAGGTTCTTCTCATGAGACACTTTTCACAATAGTTGGCAGATAAGGAGGAATCAGCAGTCATGCCTTAGGAGCTACTGCCCTACAAAAGGAGGTTCCTGAGCCAAAACACTGCTCAGTGCTCCTGTCAGTAGGAAAGATGTCATTCAAACTCACTTGGAGAAACAAAATCAAAAGAAAAACACAAAAAACCTCAAATAAAATTAATCAAGCATGGTTAAAAATGAGGAAGACACATGAATTCTTTATTGTCTTTTTAATGTATTTCTCTGAACTGTCTTCAGGAATATTGTGTCCACGGTGAATCTTGGTTGCAAACTTGACCTAAAAACTATTGCGCTTCGTGCCCGCAATGCTGAATATAATCCCAAGGTAAGAGAAATGCATTAGAGTTAATCCTATAACAGGCATGTCAAAGGCACAGGTTGTGGATATAGTTTGCTGAAATAGGTTGAAAAACCTTCCTACTATAGACGCAGTTTTATACTGTAGTTAAAAAAGAGATCTTTAATAAACTTCAAACATTCTGTCAAACTAGTAAAAAGACTTTTTATACTGATGTAGCTGTGTTTTACACCGGGTTGTAATTTGGTAGATTTAGAAAGAACGCTGCATATTTGGGAAGAACCTAACCAACAGTGTAATGCACTGGCAAAGTTGTTTGTTGTAGAGTTGGCCTCTGCTGCTATTCATACGGGCATATTTGTTCGTAGTGCTCAGAAAGTTCCTTTTCCATATTACTGTGAAATGTCTGATGATGAAGTCTTGTTCCCTGTCTCCCAACAAGGAGAAAGGAAGGAAGAATTCAACTCCAGGGCTCCTGCCAGAGCCACGGTTGTCCTGTATATGCTGTGGCTTCCTCCACCTGGCTGGTCCCCTGGAATTCTTGTGGTCGCAGTGCAGTCACTGGGTTTTTACAGTCCTGCTTCCCCTCTGAGCTCCATTCCTGCATCTTGTCCCCCAGTACTCCTGCCATCTCCTTGCTCCCGACGGCTAGGTTTGGTGGAACAGCAAAATGAAATTGGTTTTGTTTTTTTTTTTTTTTTTTTTTTGCATCGACTTCTAAGTTGCCCACTGCTTCTAAATAGCAGTTTGTTAAACCATGGGATTTTTTTAGCTCAGGAAACTTTGAGCAACAGGAGAGGACCTGGAGTGTCGAATCAAAATTATGTTGCTTCATTTTTCATTTGGGTGGCTCCTCTTGGAAATGTTACCTTTGCAACCACAGTAGTTGGACACTATTTCTAATAAATGTTTAGATGTTGTGTAGTTGAATTGACTTGCCTTGGGAAAGCTTCAGTTTTCCTGGGGTGTGGTTACTTTGTTGTTTTAATATTTGGGATTTTGCTACAGTTTACCTGAGTTCTGCTCTCAAAGATTAAACCACGTATGCAGGCATATGTGGTAAATAACTGCTGTTGTAGGTTTATATCAGTGATGCTGTTACATAATTGCATGTGAGTAAGATATTAGTGCAGCAAAAATTTGAGCGTGCCATGGTAACTCTTAAGTTAGGGGTAGGTGGTTGTGTAAAACTTGTAGGCTACAAAAATCCATATGAAATGCTGTTTTCCACAGTGGAGAGAAAGAAGGGTTACGTAACACACTCCTGACTTTTACTCAGTACATTCATCTATCAAAGGAAGGTGTTGCTTGGCTGTATTATTTAAGCCATGGTTTGAGAAACGTACTGTTAGGGAACCCATGCTACCGCCTTGGTTATGTCAGCAGAACAGTTTATGGGACTGCATGGTGAGCAGTCAAACAGGGGTCTGTGTGTATGTGTGTGTGTGTGTATGCCCACATCAGTTTCCAGTATCTCTTGCTTCGAAGAGTTTAAGAATATTTGGAAATGCAGGCAGAGATGTTACAGTACTTAGAATAAAAAGCTAGAGCTAACAGGCTGCTGTGTTCTACTGCAGTAGTTGAGGTGGCTTCTGTTTACACAGAACTTTGATCTCCACCTGTTCTGTTTGCTGGTATTCTAACACTGTCCAATTTTTTAAGACACGGGAGCAAAACAGACCATAAAATATTTGCAGATAGATAGTCTTCCATCCTGCTTATAACAAATCAAATTTCAAGACATGTGGAGGAAATTTTTTATTTATTTGTTTTTAAGATTGTCTCTATTGCTCTGTTGCAAATGTTAGCATTATTTATATGTTGCATATACAGTAATGAGAGATGAGCTTAGTAAAATAGGAATGCAATCGTAAATATCCTTCCTGTCTGACTCTCTCAGTGTGTGTGTATGAAGCTACTTGTGATTTAAGCATTTCAAGTAAATTTTGAGTGATCCATAAGTATGTTTGAACTTAGTATTTCTTTGCAATACAGTGCAAATTGCTACTTAGATTATGCAAATTTGGTGTTAATGTAATGATTACAGCAATATATCACTAACAGTCTCAATACTCACATTTCAGCGTTTTGCTGCTGTTATTATGAGAATAAGAGAACCACGTACTACTGCACTTATATTCAGCTCTGGAAAAATGGTGTGCACAGGAGCAAAAAGGTATGTTTAGGCATTAAAAGCAAACTAATTCAAGCTGTCTCTTCTCTTGTACCGTGATGCTTTAGAAGTACTATTATTTGTATACAGTATTTGTATATGCACAACAAAGTTGTACAGGTACAACTAAGCTTGCTTCCCAGTTATTTCAAATAGACTAATACACGTTTCTTCACAAAATGTCTTTTCATGACCGAAAAGACTTCCCTACAAATGGGGAAATGGTAGCTCTGTTTCTGAAGCTCTTTCATACAGTCTGATAAACTGGCTTGCGGAGGTTATTATATTCACTTTTTTGGCTTTGCGCTTCATATTTTTTTTTCTAATAATTAAAAATTTCAATGACTACGCACTGGAACGGCTTAAACTGCAGGGGCAGTGGCAGGGGAAGAGTGATTTTATATTTCAATAGTTTCATTCGTCACAGGCCAAGAGCTCGAAGTCTGTGGTCCCTGAAGTCTGATCCGTTCTTAACATGATCATTGAAGCGTAAGAATTGAAGACTAACAGAAGCTTAACTCCGGTGGGCAGGAGAGAAATTCTGCTCTGAAGAAGTCTGTTAGGAATCCAGAAGGAATAAGCTAATGAGCAGAGATGAGTGAATAGAGCTGTACAGGAAACGCTTTCTTCGCCTGGTGACGCTTGAAGTTCAAGTTGTCTTACTCTGTGTTAGGAGCAACCAGATCCTCGGCTGTTTACAAAACTGAGGCAAACTGAGTTCTGCAGCAGTGTGTAAGGCCGTGCAGTTGCATTAAACCCAGGCTTGAATGCCTGGGCTGACTCAAGCAGAGGATTTTGGCAGTTTACAGATTTTTATAAAATACGTGTTTTCTGGCAGTAGTTGTTCAATGTTGTTACTTAAGTAACAGTTTTCATGTCTCATTAGAAGGACTCAGGTCGATATTTTAAGTGTGAAATATGTGGATTTATAATTCACTGTTTTCTGCCTCACGAACAGCGAGTACAACATTAATGGTGTTCAGGATCCTAGTACCAAAATTAGCATGCAAACCAGTGCTAGTTAATTTTGGTTGTAAAAAATTTTGCATGTGACCTTCCCCTCCCCTTCAACACAGACATTTTTCTCTGAATTAAATATTTGTGGTTTAATGCTATTTGCTTCAAGTAATACTTAACTGAGGAAATAATACGGATATCCTTTTCTCACTTCAGTGAGGAGCAATCCAGACTGGCAGCAAGGAAGTATGCAAGAGTTGTTCAGAAACTGGGTTTTCCTGCAAAATTTTTGGATTTTAAAATTCAGAACATGGTGGGCAGCTGTGATGTGAAATTTCCCATCAGATTAGAAGGATTGGTACTCACACACCAGCAGTTCAGCATGCTTATGTTTCATTCTTGCTGTGCATTGACTAGCTTAGAGAGTGACACCTGTTTAGATTACTCCCTTGCACCAGAGGGAAACCTGCATCTTTGTTCCCATCGCTGCTTTGCCTCGGGTGTAACTGCGGTTTCGCAATATGAACCTATCAAAGTGATCCTCCCAGCTAAGCTCCAAATTTCAGTGAGGTCTACATCTGCTCTGCCCGTTCCTGTAGTCCTACAGATGAACGACTGGAACATGTGTCTGCAAGCGTGTTCAAACACTGTCACTCTCTTCTCTTACAGCTACGAGCCAGAATTGTTTCCTGGCTTAATCTACAGAATGATCAAGCCAAGAATTGTTCTCCTTATTTTTGTTTCTGGAAAAGTGGTTTTAACTGGTAAGTGAAGACAGTATCTTACTCCAGTAGGTTACATTTAGACTGTATTACAGAGAACACACAAGGATACCAGAGGTGCGTAACTTCTAGGTGCTTTCCTGTAGAGAAGACAGTACTGAGAAAGAACAGATAGCACAGTATTCTGTGGATGAGAGCGCACAAAACAAACCATGTTTGGCTAAATCCATACAAGCAATGATCATGAACCCTAATCAAGTATGCAGGTGCCCAAAAAGCTGTAAGGGCGCAGGTTAATGTTTCTGGCAAAATCTGAAAGTCTGTTTCTGTGTGCTGGGTGTGTGTGACTGAGCTAACTGTTCTTTGACAGCTTGGCTGGAGGCTGCTGCCATTCTCCTTTGATAGAGCAGCCAAAGAAGGGGAGATACCCGAGCTCTAGGACCTCCTCAACCCCAGGCACTCCACCTACACCCTTCCTTTTCCCCTCGTACTCAGTCTTACTATGGAGAAAAAACCCACAAGACTCGGGAGACAAAAGGAGCATGTCCCTGCAGTACAGCAAGTGGTGGGTGGGCCTATGCAGCGGTCTCCATTGCCAGACCTTGCTCCCCAGATACTCAGGCCCTCAAAAAAAGCTCCAGCAGTTAGGCCTTTCTGCAGAAGCATCCTGTATGGCTGTGCTTTGTAGTTGGGTCTCCTGCAGAAATTACGTATAGAAAAATCCCGTTTGCAAGTACAGCATAAGCACAAAGATGCTAATGAAAGTTTTACCAGTTATCAGAATAAACAGTGAGAAGGCTGGTAGCATATGCTCTGCACGCAATGTGTATTTAAAAAAAAAAAGATCATAAAAATAGAGATTTCTGGATATGCATGGGTTTTATATAGAGTCGCATTCAAATAAATATTCTAAAAGCTAAAATTAAGTATTTGGCAAAAGGTACACACTAACTTAATTCCCTCTCTTTTTCTAGGTGCTAAAGTACGAGCAGAAATCTATGAAGCATTTGAAAACATCTATCCTATTTTAAAGGGATTCAGAAAGACAACGTAACAGTTTCTACACGTTTCAGAGAAATCAGGGGTATATTTTAAAAGGTATTGCGTATGGCACAGCAGTAACAAGAGATGGACTTCCAGTGAAGCTGCAACACCAGGACTTGGACTATTTCCCAGTTAGTGCCTACTTCCCTGATGCTCAAGGGGAACTGTATTATTGATTATGTCTACTGAGTTACTGTGAGTTGCTTTACTTGGGCTGTTCCTGGAGCAGTCCCTCCAAGTTTTATTTATATTCTAGCTTTTAAATAGTTTTAATGCCAGTTCTATTAATAGAAAATCCATAAGTTGGTTTAAAAGACAAATGCAACTGTGTCACTCACTGTATAAACCACTTAAATTGCCATGTATATATGTTTTAACTTCCTTCCATAAGACCATGGTTTTTATAATTTTCAGAACTTAAGCTTTTAAATTTTTTCAATTTAAAATTTCTTTGTTGCCAGACACATTCCCTTTCCAGTATTAAGCAAGACAGAATAAATTTATTAATGAAAATGGCTCACTGTACATATATATATAATATATACCTTCCTTCTCTTTCCTCCTTCAGTTCCACATGTACAATAAACCCTGTTTATACAATTATGGGAACTGTCTTAATGAATTTTAAAATTACCCAGCTGGTAGAGTGAAATACATTGAAAACTTTTTTTTTTAATTTAATCTGGATTTTTCAATAATACATGCACTACTGTAAGTGACTTGTCATTTTGAGAGAATCTTAACAATGCTCTGGCTTGCTTGCCAAGGACATGACTGCTGGTAATGTCTAGCTTGAGCATTTCTAGTATGTTAAAGCAAAAGAGATGACCGGTTAAAGAAGTTTGTGTTCGAGTATGTGTTGCCTCATGTTCAACAGATGGGATTTATACAAGTCTTAAATATTTAACTACACTTGACTGAATTGGAACAAAAGATCCCTGCTTATCTTCTAGAATTTCTTTAAATTAAATTACTACTCTTGTATTTTACCAACTATGACAGTCTCACTATATTAGTGTTCCTGTAAAATGTCAAAGCCCTTCCGACTAGAGTCAGTATGTACATGATCTTCCTCTGAACTGTGCTTGAAGCTTAATGGGCTGAGAACTAAAAATAAACGTTTTTTTTCTCCAGTAAATTTTCAGTAATAGTAACCTCCTTTCTATGACTTGCACGTTCTTTCAAACAGCTTTTATCTAAAACTAACCCCAATGTAACCATGGTCTCTCTATTCACTAAGTTGGTGTTTCATTCCAGACAAAATGAAGTTTTGGCTGGCTGTGCTACTGCTCCGTTTGCAAATCCTGAGTGACCTTAATCCTTAGTCTTCTCTACTCCCCCCATAGTGGTGTACACCCGTGTTTTTCCAGGCGTTTTAATAATTGGTTTAATGGATCTTATCAGAAAGCTGCTGTTTAATAACGTAGCTTTGCCAGGGTAAGTTCAAGATACAAACACTGCATGGCCTTCAGGGCCACACCGCTCTGTGCTGTGAGCTAATGGATGTTCCTGAGTGCTCTTGAACATAACTGTATGACTGTCCGTGCTGTTGCAGGACCCTGAACTATTACCAACTTATCTGCAAAACTCTCAACTCTGGAGGAAAACTTGGAGCCTTAAGTAACTGTGGGATGGTTTTCAATAAAATCAGTCAAGCTGTACTATAACTTAAGATACTGTTTGCTGTTCCATGACATATACCAAAGCTTAAAACCACCCTTTTAGAAATTAAGTTCTGTGATGACCAAACAGCTTATATGTAAAGCATTCCAAAAAAAACTGCTCATTTCAATATTTCCAGCATCTAAATTAATACAGAAAAACCCAACAGTGGGCCTAAGGCTTTCATAAAATCACCTTCAGAATCACTGGTAAGCAGACATGAATGGTTTGAGTGGGATAAGGGAATATGTAACTGAAGTGAATTCTATACTGAGGCACACAAAAAAAAAGCCTTATCTTTTCTGCAAATGTAGCTATAGCCACAGCAGTAGTTAAGCAACTACCCCAGTAAATTCAGCATTATGGTTTCACTTTTCTTTTGCCTCAGCTATATGGCAGTCAAATAGCAGAATCATCCCTGCAGAGGGCACTTATTTTTAAACTTCACTAAAAATGGCAGACTTAAGGTACAATTCAGCTTGAAAATCTGCTGCTACAGGCAGTAAATAAAAAGACAAACGTGTTCTGATATGGCTGGCTCTGTTTAAACTGCTTCTGCACCAGATAGTCCCATGCAGAAATAGTTGAACTCCGTTAATAATTTTAAGTCAGATATATGTAACATATTCATAAGCATGAGACTCAGTGTACCTTCTGAGAAAGAGAAGCAGATTTAAGTTCCACAGTGAAAGGCTACGCAGCTTTGTCTTAGCTATGACTTCTTTACATCTCCTGAGCATAAGCACTCAAGTGCTCTTACATTAGTCAGCTTTTCTCTGTGAATTAATGTTAATTTTTGAGTAGCACAAAGAAAATCCTGACAGACAACAATCTACGTTCTTGAAGTTCAGTCACCAACAAAAGATACTTCACCAATCCAAAAATATTTCACCTTTATTTGAACATTGAGAATTGAGATTTGAAGTAAAATTTACTGAACAAATGCATCTGGCTTCACTACCAGGCTGAAGTAAAAGCTCCTGTGGAGCATGAGAGAGAGGCTGTCAAGGTCTACTTGTAGTAGTTCTATCACTGTTACAAGATACACAGTTATCAGTGACTTCAGTTCAATTACTTGTTTGCAAAGTGCAGAGATGCACTGAAACAAGGCAAGTATTCTATTTAGATGACCCAAGTTAGTAACTTGATGGAAGTTAAATAGCGCCTCCAGAGAAGTCTTGTTTCCATATGAACTCTTCCAGGTATTCATTTCCCTCACCGCAGTTGTCAGCACAAGTGTACACCACCAGCGTTCCCCAGTCGACGCTCTCTCCGAGGCTGTCAACCTGAAGGTGGTTCAGGAGCTGTGGCATAATCTTCAAGGAAAAACAAGGATTCAGAGGCAGGCCACAGCTCTCTACCCTCTCCCTGCGTCTCCTCCCAAAAAGGGTCCTGCCTTCATTTATGTTCTCTTACACCAAAATCCCAGTCAAAGCTACTACGTAATGCAGCAGCTCAAAGTAAGTTTGGAATTCCCAAAACAGTGTAGTAGATGGCACAGGGAATGAAAGACATCGCCCTACTTATTTTATCTACACAAGTTTTATTTAACTAAGCGTTGCCTGATTTGTAAGCCTCCTTCCATTTGAAATTACCTTCATAACTATGTTTTGTCTTTGCATGACATTAAGCATACTCACCATACATATGCTTCTAGCATTCACAATTCTACAGCTGAATACTTCCAGCCAGACATATTTCCAATTCACATCATAAAGCCTTTTTTTTTTAAATATACAATACCAGACTCCTATTACTTAAGAGAATGGTTCCATATTCATAAGTGCACCATTTTATGGATGGTGCAAATTATCAGATGGGAACCTACCTTCTGTATGTGAAAGTTTTACAGGAAAAAGCAGTTACAATGGTAAATGAGGGCTCTGTACAATTTAGCATAGTTAGTTTGTAGCAACTTCAACTACCTTGCTGTTATTAGAAGACAACACCTATATAATTTGAGCCCGTTAGGTCTGAACTACATTACCTGTATTATCTTTAAATGAATTTACATACCTGGAATTCAAAAATCCTTCTGGCACCACATAAACAATTTGGGATATCTTTTTCTTCAGGAATATTTTCACCTGATACCCAGATTGGGCCTTCTCCTCCTCTGCAGTACCTAATAATCTGAAATAGAGCAGAAGTTTAAGTTCTCAAGACTGTCTTTTCATCTTGGTATAAAATTGGTATTTACTGATATAGAGAAAGTGGTAGGATGGTGCAGAAAAAGGTCAGTTCCTTTAAGTAATACCCATGGCAAAGTCTATCAGATGCAAATGCAGTATTCTAAATAAGACAGATTCTTTATAGAAGTTTTATTAACTATGTGAATCATGCAAGTATTCATACAGCATTTTTTCAATGATCCAGGGATAAACTGCAATGATTTGATTTCTCTAATTAAGGGACCCAGAAATGCTAGATGAGGTATTTTATAGCCTTGAGATGGAAGAACAGCACGTTGATAGATCAGCAGATAGAAGTGTACAGAAGTCAGGAATGCAACCCAGCTGTTTCTGTTTGCAGTTCTGCATCTAAATGCAAGGGGACTGTCCTCATGTCCAGGAAGGAGGTATTTTCAGACATTCATATCCTTTGTTGTTCCATTACGATCTGAATAGTTATACAGCAAATCAGGCATTATCAACAAGAGTACTCTTATGCAGATCAGTCAGTATGAGGCTGGTCAGAGAGGGAGGTGATGCATCTACCCCAAACAGGAGGGAACAGACTCAAAGCCTCCTGCTTTCTGGGTGTGCACCCTCACCCCTCAGCTACGAGGTAAAACATCGAGAGAATTTCTTTACTTCTTCCACCACTTTCACGGACTTAGGCCTGTGTTTCCTCTGAATGGAACCAGGAACCATGTTTTTATTTGACAATGTGGCTTTTTTCATCTTCTTGTGTTAGCAAGAAATAGCATGGGGGGAGATTTCTGTTTTAAATAGTTGACATTTTAAAGCCATCACTAATTTCTTCAACCTTAAAAAAAGCCAAACCAACCCCCCCATGCAGCTGGTGACTGTGACAGAGCTCCTCTCTGAAGTTTTGGTTCTGCTGAGAAGAAAGCCAACAGGGCCAAAGGCTGGGGAAGAGAGCAATGCTTCACCACCTCCTTTGGTTAGAACCACCTCACAGGATGGCAGGTCCTCCCCCCACCATGTTGGCTTCAGCACCCCTGTGCCCTCTCGTCCTGACCAATTTCTGTTTGGGATAGATGAGCAGGTGCTAAATTCTTACTTCAGCATGAATCAAGTTCTGCACATAAGGAAGATTAGGGTGTGCTGGTTAAGGCGTGTGGAAGATAAGGAGGCATCCCCATCGCCATTTCTAACTGTAGGTATGAAAGGCAATGAAACATTTTGCAGGTGTAGCAGGATGCCCTGCCAGAACCTGTAAGTTGTAAGGCTGCCCCATCTTCTGACCTGCTCTGGTTCGGCAGCTACTCGCTCTTTAAACATTTGGAAGATCTTGTCTTCTTCAGTCTCATGTTTTGCCATTGCTTCCAATGTCTCTTCATCTAAGGATTGAAATGCTTCACCTAAGCAAGGAAAAAAACCCCAAAGGTTACAGGCTAATGCAAGACAGCCAAAAATTAAAACCAGTATCGTACCTGTAAGTGCATTTTGCTCTCAAAAATCATTCCCGGTGTAAATCACTAAGACTTTTTTCTTTTCTGTGACATATTAAGATCCAGTCACGCACAGATCCATTTACTAGTTTTAGTTGCATTTTAAACATAGATGTCAGTAATGGAACACTGGAAAGGGAAGGATTTAATCCACCAAAGTTTATGCCTCCCAGCAGGTATCGCTGAGGCTGCTGAAAGAATGTGACATCTGGAAAAGGCCACCCGTGCCATGCATGTCCCAGACTTCAGTTTCTAGCACTGAAGGTGTCTCTGTTACACTCCCGCGTTCACAGCGGCGTGG